GCTGTGGCGTGGCTCCTCCAGGGGGAGCCAGGGCCGGGTGTTCCCCTCGGGGCTCCGCTCCCTTCCCGGCCCGCTCGGCCCCGGCAGAAATCCCCAGAGCTGCGCGGTGCGGCTTGAGGACAGCTCCCACCAAGAAGGAGATGCCCGGGTGTTGTTTGGCTGTGATAGCGCGTGACTGAAACCTTGCGGGCTTTGGAAATTCGGGGAGGAAAAGAAAGAGAAAAAGCAAGCAGGCAAAACTTCAGTGGCTGGGAATTTACTCCTCCCGTTAGAGAAGCGCTACAGCACATCGGGCAGAAATGGTCTCAAACGTGGTGTGAGCTCTGAGGGCCAGCCTTGGGTCTGATGCTGCCTTTCGTTTACGCGTGAGTCTCGCACGTTGTCTTCTCACTGCCTTGGCTGCGGTGATAAAGAACGCTTTCATATAGCAGAGAAAATGATTCTTGAAGAGCTGCCCAGCCTGAAAACTAGCCTAGGCATTTAGCCAACAATACAGTAGCGTATTCTGTGCTTTTAAATTCTTATTTGTCTATGTTTTTTTTTTTTTTGCAAGACAAGATACCAGAGAACATGGAATAAAATTTAAAAAACAAACCTGCTAGTCTTAACTATGAAAACATGGAAAGTAATATACAGGTTTTTGATACGTTTTACCTTTAACTCAAAGCTAACTGATTTTAAAAATATTTTGTCCATAATTTCATTAAAAACTCATTGGCTAATATTGTTCTGGTTTGTTGTATAGCTGCGAATGCAACAGGTTTTAATAGATCCTGGCGTATTGTAAGAAGAGTTGCAGCACAGAAGTAAGCTAAGTTTAGCTTTTTATTGCTTAGTGTTGCTTTAGTGTTGGAGAGATTCTTAGATTTTTATTTTCTTAGTATTTACTGGTTAAGTAAATTTCCATTATGCTCTCTAGAAATAAAAAACAGTGTACAATTGCTAGGTATTAACATTAAATGACAAATTAGTAATGATATTAAGTTATCCAGACCGTAGGACCCTTTTGGTTCAGTCTTGCAGAGTTTAGAGGAGATTGAAAGTATTTAAAGGTCAGACTTAGCAATACATTTCATTGTGCAGTGAATGACATAGTTGTTTCTTCCACAACAGCATTTGGCTGCCTATTTGCACTTATGTAGTGGACTTAGTAGGGCCTCCTGTAGATGGAAGTTAAAATGAGTGTTTCTTAGCAGTTGAGGTGGATGAACGTTGTTTTTACATCTAAAAATTTATAGTATATTCAGACCTTATAAGATATTAATATGGAAGTTCATCAAATCCTGCTTTCTGTTTAAAGTTTCCATTTTTTATAAACCATATTAATCACATCTGCGACTTTAGCATAACACAAAGAGTGGTCTTTTTGTTCTGTGCCTGTACAGGGCCCATCACAATGCATTCTTTGACAGAGAGTTCCTATGTGCAAGTAATCCGCGATAGTTATAAAGTGAGTACAGTTATACACAATGCAGAATTTTTTCCTTTGCCTAAGCTTTAAATAGCTTGTAGCCAATGTTCTTCATAAAATGCCATCAGTCTTTCTGTAACAGACTAAATGATTTTTTTTTATCACCAAAATGTTGTCCTGGGAGTAAATTCCCTCAAATGTGTTCCCTGGAATGACATTGCTCTAA